TCTCGTGACGCTTGATCTCTTTCCCCTGGAGTGCCGTCGCCTCCGAGGGGACCTAATTCTTACCTACGCCCTGTTTGAACAAAGCTTGGCAAACAGGTTTTTTACCGTTTACCCAGCAAACACCCGGCGGGGACATAGTAAGAAAATCTTCAAGCTCAGGGCACACACATCCGTTAGACAAAACTTTTTTTCATTTCGGGTAGTAGCTGCGTGGAATGACCTTCCTCCGACGGTTGTGCACGCTCCTTCTCGAACCCAATTTAAAGCACTATTAGACATTTGTTTATGCGAATTTTCGCGCTGGCGAGGATACTGCCCCGCGCTGAGAACATAAAGAGCAGTGCTACACCCTTTTTTCACTTGTGCCTTTCAGGTGAACGACAGCCACTGACCGACAAGAACAAAACCGACCCGGAGAACTTGGGCAAAAGCCTCGATCCTGTGTATCAATCCGTGAATCCGTTATGAACTGAACTAAAGATTGGATGAAATGAAGCGTAGTGTTTGAACTTCGAATGTCCGCAAATATTTGTTATCGCGCCTTCCACTCTGCTTTCTGTTTAATCCGTGAACTAAAGATTGGATGAAATGAAGCGCAGTGTTTGAACTTCGAATGTCCGAAAATATTTGTTATCGCGCCTTCCACTCTGCAGTGCTTTCTGTTGGTTCAGCACAATTGGTACGTTGTAACACGGCAGGTTTCTGTACAGCCAACCAACGCTTTTGTATTATGATATAAACAATGCAGAATGTAGTGTCCACCCTCGTCAGAGTGGAAGATTATAAATGGAGTGAGTGACAAGCTTGAATGTGTATGACACAGGGCTGATTCGATGTCGTTGAACAAGATCATTATTCTGTCTGCTACTTTTCTATAGATTCATATGCCAATTAAGCCTGAGGTTATATTTACGAAGCACACTAATGGTGGAGTCTATTGGTATATTTCACGTGTCTACCTAGTCTTCAGAAGCGTCTAAAACGAACTTCTGCAGCGTTTGCAAGACGAATTGACCCATTTCAATAGTATGCTGAAGCAGGAATTCATTGGAGCCTCCATTATAAAGTCCGGGAACTGCCTCAACTCGAAGGCTGAAAATCCATGGGCAATTGAGCTAAAACCCTCTTTTTACAACCAGAATCAAATAATTACGGAAGCTGGACTCTCGCCCGTTCTGCATAGATGCGTCGAAACCTCACAAATTGGCCGTCTCTTCGTTGTACCCGAAAAATAACAGGACGCCATTCTTGTGACTCCGCTTGTAGAAAATGGGCAAAATGGAATTCGGATGACCAAGAGTGGTGAAATGCGTAGATGGCCTCCTAGATGCCAGTTACCATATACCCCTTGATGTTCGTATTGCGAAGTGATGGATAACTTATTTAACTCCACCTTGTGCTTCGTTAGCATATTCTAATGATATCAAATGAACCAACTCTGTTCAAAGCACCCACTTGCACTCAGTTGCTTACTGTAATATTTCATTAGGAATCCAGGAGAAGCGCAAGCTTCGAACGCTTTAGCTTTTTTATGAACACCTTTATCCATTCGCTGAATACAAGACCTTTAACTGAGCTCAGTCACACTTACATAGCATTCGCTTTGCTTTACCAACTTTGGATGTGGTAGATCCTGTGATTTTGAACTTTCACTGGGGCCTTTTCTGAATGGCTACCCTTGTACCAGGAGGCAGATAGCCAATTTTGAAGATCCGGATGTCAGAGATCTCAGGTTTTGACGGCTGTCTAATCTCGGGAATTGAGAAGAATGGGGTGGCCAAAAGCCAGATAGTTCGGCATTACTAAAATTGCTTCACATGTGAGGTTCTTGTTAAGAATACAAGGCCACCACAAATATTTTTTATCACGTATTCAAGCGAACAGTAACATCTTACAGACTTAAGAAGTGGCCAAGTTCAGCGATATTCATAATCGGTAACACAAACACTTCAACCTACTAAGCGAGATGTGTCATGAAGGGGGTGCTGTTCAATTGGCACTGAACATGCCTTTAGAGAAACAGCCAACTTGAGGTTACCTGGACCAATTTCCCCCTTCTGCATTGGCCTTGCCACTCTTAGTCATCTTTCAAAGACAGAGTTGACCACTCGATATTTTTGCAAATTGCAATGGTGCGTAGGCTGAAAATCCTCTGAACACGCGCCGCTGCGAAAGTCAGCAACATTCTTCAGGGAACGCTCTCTAGATGCAGCAGGAACAGTTGCCACATACAACTGAAATCCTCAAAACCTATCTTGTTCCTGAGGGCACATTTTGCAGAGAAAGCTGGAAGAGTTGGTTCTGTTCTCTTCAGTGATATGGACTGCGTCCTTGTCAGACAAATGCAAATATGCCCAGAATAGAGGAACACACTTTCAATCGGGCAGCTTTGGTTCTAGTCACGGGTTTTTCTCTTAAAGGGCACATGGGAGATGGGAGCACATGTGTAGATGCTGTGGATTCTTGTAAGCCACATTAATATGTAGGTGGAAACTCCTGGGTAAACTTGTTTGGTGTCGACGTGATATGTGAATGAATTCCTTGTTCGTTTTATTCTTCGGCCGAATGTGTTGCCCTGGGTTTCCACCAAACGATTCTTGAATTATCGAAGCGTCTGTCCTGGATAAGATACCGCTCTTTGACAGACCACTAACGGTTTCAAGGGTTCAATGCTGATATTGGCATTGGCGGTGAGTGCGTCCTTGATGATGATTGGGACGACGACGTTTCTGTGCGACTGTTTAGTGCGTTTTATCGAGGTCTCCAAAACCCACTGGTTCAAAAAGGCGAAGAGAACATAAACTCCCTTATCGTGTCGTTCAGCTGTAACCAATGAGTCGATAACTTGATGCTGTAGAGAAGCCGGACGCACAAGACACTCAGTTCCAGAATCAGTATTCGGATGCAGCGGTGCGGGGCGAGATGGCCCAAGTGGTTAGAGCGCGAATTTACTGACCGGAAGGTCCGTGGTTCGAATCCCACCTCCGCCTCTCGACTTCCCCTGTCTAGGCTTGGGCAACCTGGCAGTATCCCAGCCCTCGTGCTTCCTTCGGGTGGCATGGCAGCTGGGCACCGGGAGAGTGTTACAGCTGTACGCATACATCAGTAACGCAGCTGGACCCTAATGATCAAGGACCCGGAGGATCGTAGGTCGTCTCCCTGGAGAATTTCGTGGGTCATTTCCGAAGTCGATATGCCGTTATAGTGTGGGTATGCAGGTTGCCTAGAGATACAAAAGATTTGGCGCAAACCGGATCCTCTGCCTCTGTCACGAGTTCATTCGTAAAACGCACAGAGTAACACAGAATCAGTATAGTACACCTAAAACCGCTATCTGTTTCTTAAATTCAATTTTCCGTTCCTGAAGTTTTGCTCTCACTTCCTAATGGCCGATTTTTCTAGTGGTACTTCGATTTCCACAGGTAAAACAATGTATACGTGTCAATGGTTCCCTACTACATGTGGGCGATCTCTCCTATCAGCTAACGGGGCGGTTAGTCATAATGGCTATCGGCAAAGCTTCACTGGGAATGCTGAGGTAAGCTGTTTTTACATAACTAGTTGTTTTAGGTCTCTATATGATATACTCCATACAAAAATGGACCTTGCCATTTGCTGTCTCCCCGAACACGCTGGAGACGATGAGGATGAGAACTAGTGAGTTTCATTGGCCGTCAAATAAACTTTTACCTCCTGAAAACACGGAAGTAGTTTACGGAGTTCATGGGTTTCAGACCAAATAGCGCCTTCTTCTCTACCACATGACGTTTAGTGCATGTGGTACCTATCAGTCCGCGCACCGGGCTAAGTGAAAATACACATTTTCAAAATAAGGGTTTGTGCCCAGATACATTCGAAAGTGTCAATACAATGCTTCCGTCATCGAACTACTTTGTTTGAAAGGGCTCTCATGAGCTATATTGCTTTTAAAAATAACATAGGTGAAATGCAGATGAGAAGGAAACTCGTAGTCGGTTGTCTCTGCGAAGCTGGTTGAAAAAGGACAAAAACACAACAATGTGGACGTGGATACATCTGGAATGAATTTTGAACAAGTGACTAGAGTCTGCCGTCCGGAAGCAAACGTTGACCAGGAACCTATGCACCTGAAGGTTATGGGGCTTGGGGAAATTAGAGAGGAGGATTGTTTCATTCAAACACAATAAGAAGGAGGTTAAACTTGATCTGGGTTACTGGAATTGAGCGTTTGAGCTATATGGGTGAACGACTTTGGAAGTGCTATTGAGGTCAGTTGTAACGACCGTTTTCGGTTTTTAATAACGTTACAGTGAGGAAAGGGAGAATCCATTACGATAGTGAAAGAAGAGTTCAGGGCCTTCAGGCGGTGGGAATAGGATGACTAAATGATTGAGAGGGGAGGTACTAAAAATAGGAGCATCTCAGAAATGATATCACTATTTGGGAGAAAATGTCAGGCTTATAAATGATTGGCGTTTTTGGGCGAAGAAATTTTGTGAAGCGGACGAGATGCTCTAAGTTTTAAAACCAGAGTCGCGCCTAGTAAGAAATCGGACACCGAAGCTAGGTTTTTTAAGACGACAAACCAACTCAAAACATTCCAGTTTTGGTGTGTGATTTGAGTCCATCGTGACAGTATAATGGGATATGAATGAGCCAGAGTTACTAGGACAGGACGTTGCACGGGTCGAATCCAGTTGTGTTGAAAGAACAACGACCGAGTATCCTTAATGAATTTTAGCTTGAACGTCGTGAATCTGAGTGGGGAACAGATTCCAGGTAGGAGTAGTAGGTAGACTGTTGGAACGTAAAAATGCTAAATAAATCCTCCAGGAAAAGCGGATGGGAATCCATCATTTGCGAACAAGAGGAGAGCGAGGAATGATGCAGAAATCCTGATACTCGTTCTTTAAAAACTGGCCCTGGGTAGCAGCTCTATCTGGGTGAACTTGTTTTGAGCATTTCTGTAAGAGCAGTTCCAAGCGCAAGTAGTACATATTAGTAAAGCGAGGAGACCTGAATGCCATGCCCGATGAATAGACTTAAGAACCTCAAGGTACAAATGTTCAGTTTCGGAAGAAGAAGAATATAAGGCGAATAGCCAAGCGTGAAAAACATGCCACGGTATGGTGTTGAAGCCCAACCCCATATTGATTGTCTCATGAAGGCACCACCTTCAGGGTGTTCGATCAAGATGGTTGCCGAAAGTATGGACGAAATGGGTTAGATGAGGATAGATTAGTAGTTATTTGGGTTGGACAGGGAGCACATGATAATCTACCCGAACCGAGCGTTAATCGCTTCAAAATAAGAAGTGAGTGAGTCCTCTACAGATGATCAGTACCATCTCGGTACACTCTGGTTTGTTTGCTAATTAACCAGAGCAAGAATGAGGGCAGCAATCCCAGGGTTATGTTGCGTCTATCTCTGAAACAAATACCGAAGTGGCACTTAGCACTCCACTGCCACTCTACTGCAACACGCAGGGAGAATGTCCCAGTAAGGATGTGTTACTAATCGGAACGGGTACGATCAACGACTCTATGCGACTTGAGCACAAGCGCACAAATCCTCGGCTACGACGCGAGCCCAACCACTTCTAGCGCAGAGAGAGAAGAAGATCGGACCTTCAGAAAAGGGCTTTCACTTCCTCAACCATGGACGAATTACAACGGGAGCACCGTCGAATATATATAAATATATAATGAGCGACGTTGCGTTCAGCTGTAGCACCCTTCCGGTGCCTAGCTGCCATGCTACCCGAAGGAAGCACGAGGGCTGGGATACTGCCAGGTTGCCCAAGCCTAGACAGGGGAAGTCGAGTGGCGGAGGTCGGATTCGAACCGCGGACCTTCAGGTTAGTAATCCGCGCTCTAACCACTTCGGCCATCTCGCCCCAAGTGCCTTGCCGAACCAGTACCGATAGACAGTGAGTCATACTTAGCATTTGTCAGCACTGATAATAACAACTGTTCTAACATGAAGTAATAAACACCTCATTTGCAGGTTAGCACAAGATGGAACATCCAGAGTACCAGATTTTTTCCTCTCATTGAACTCCTCTGCTTAGCCTTACTCATGTTATGTTAATCGACTAACTCCTACTGAGGACTATTCGTTTGACAGACGGCTAAGTATCAAGCAACGTTTTAATGTATTTGGCTGTGCTGATGATCCACTTAGTTTCATCGGTTAGTGAAGACAACAACTACGACGAAAACCACCAAATGTTGCATTGCTTAGAGCAAAATGTACTTAGCGGCTTTGCTAGCGTAAAATTCCAATAGCTCAGCTTATCTGAAGAAATAAATAAAATAAAGCTGGTTCGCTTTAGCGTGCCGCTTTAGAAGACGAATCGGTTCAAACACTGCCCATAACGTCCAGGGTTGGAAACTGAATTTCGTGAGAAAGCTGCTTTGCTGATGGTTCCAATTAAGGATGAAATAGTTGCGCAATGACTCTGGATTTCATCAAAGGTTGGCCTCACTGACAGGATGAAATCTCCGTTGAAAGTTATACTGTTCACTGAATCCTAGTGTCTCCATACAAACACCGTATCCGTTCTCAGTAGCAATAAGACTACCGTTTTTCTGAAATCCACGTCTATGTAGTAGAGCTACTTATTTTTCATCATACGAAAAGACAGCTTTATGGATCAACCTGGGTAGCATAAGAATCACTCCTAGGTTGAAAATGAAGCCATGGGTTCCTGTTTTTTTGCATACCACTTCCGCCATCGAACGAATTTCCGTGTAACGACTTCCCCTCAAATTAAGTTCTCTATTCGTGTTTATCGTTCACGAATGGTAGGCTTTTCATTCTCTTCTACTAGACTCCCTCACAAAGTCGTATTTCAAAAGGACCACATTCATCATGACATGTGAGAAATGTCGAAACGTCTTACTTTCTTCCGAATAATGTGATAGTTAGGTTGACATTCGTAGACGAACCTCGCTACATGTTCTGATCCTCTCATCCGACAGCCGTGAGTGTCTGAAATAGGTTGCCCTCAGGCCAATAGTTCCTTATCGTTTTTCTTAATTACAAGGTCTTCGTGCGGCTGCCTTGCCAACCACGGTGACAATTTACCAAGTTGTCACATGTGGGTATCTTGATGGGTTGATATTCTTCTTTGCTTTGACCGCGGTAGCTCCCGACATTTTCTTTGTTTGATGGTCTGCGGCTGGGTATGGAAGCGTAAGTTCTAAGTCAGACAAGTCGTCCTCAAATACTGATTCCTCTAAATTAGTCGCAAAAGTTATGAAAGTTAGGGGTGGTACCATCATTTTGTGACGCTATTTATTTCTCAGCCGGTCCATTACGTCCGACGTAGCTTCCAATATGCAGCAGACACCTTTCAGTTGCCGTTCCGGCAACCATCACGTGTGTTGCATATAGCGCGGCTGCTCTTTTATGTGGACTAGTTCGGTTTTTCGCATCGTCTATGGAGACGCGACAGGCTATGGCATCAATATCCTCGATGCAGACTAAGGTTGTTCAGTTCTCTCTAATCGCAGACCCGGTGAACACCAGAATAAAATTACACACAAGGCTTCTTTCCACTGACAGCTTTCGACGGGATTCTCGTTTTGGCCCTGAGAAAGCAGGTCCCAATTTTCCTGTGTAACTGGATCCTTATGTCAACATTTTTACCACTCTTCCTCTGCACTCACAAAAACTCCTCTTATTACCCTATTTCGATACGTTTGAATTCATGGTCCGTCGTTGGATCCAACTTCCTAAAGAGAGGTTCCTAAGGAGGTTTACTCCACCAACAAGACAAACTCACCCGAAAAACAAATATAACATAACATAGTACGTCAACCCTGTGTCAACACAGCGATATCTGTTTTACATCAGAATTCTTAAATTCGCCAATATGGTTTATCAGAAATGAACAACCAAGCTGTAATACGCTACGAAAAGTAGTGGAGGTCAGTACCACTTTTCTAGTGAAAAACTCAGTCGGCTGTTTCGGCTAAATGTAAACAGGCTAACGACTGTTTTTGGCAGAAGAGCTTATTGATGTAGAATTCTCTATCTTGATACGAGGCATGGCACATTCACATTTGCTTACAAATGCTTCCTCACAACTCACATGTTTCTTTTCCCATCAGCATTAGCCCCACTGGCAATAACACCGGTATAAGAACACCGCTGTTTCACTTATGTAAGTCCACACCAATTTACTTCGACAAAGTCCTTTGATGACGAGGTTTACAAAGAAGAGAATGGGCGTATTCCTAGTCCACGACTAAGGATCGAGTTCCACATACCCGGCACATCTATATAGTGTAGTTATTTCAAATGAGTACTGTACGTTTTTGAGGATAACCCTCGAGTTATCGTTGCTTTACTGCTCACTTAAGACTTCCTGTTAGCTTGAGTTAGTTTTCTTTTGCACATTTTAGTCGAAATCCCTTAAAAAGGCCATCTCAAAAAACTGCCAGACGCTCACACTTGGGTTTCAAGTGCAACCAATGATTTTCAAACAACACAAAACAAACAATGTTTTGCCTCTTTCAGTGAGCTATTTTATGTGTGTGAACTCACATGAAATAGTTGCAGACCTGGCGGCTAGCTGCATTCAATGGCCTATTCTTCGTGGTTTCATTGGAGTATACTCATGATCGCATAGAACTTCATAATGGTTGTCATATGAATCGTCGGCGTGTCTTACCAGGCTGTTTTATTGGGTTTATTACAATCCAACCTTTACTATTGGACACACATTACATCGTACTGATTGGGACGCATTCGCTTATTCCCACTGGACCCAGTGCGACTCTTAACGATTGAAAACAACAAAAATTTACAACCAACTTATCTTTAATGAATTGCATGAGAGGACTGCGGACAAAAGCGTACCACATGAAACAACGCAACAAATGTACTTGAAAAACGTTTTCCGTTTCTTTGTGCGATCTGAGTGTCTGTTCCTTCCTAGGAGGGATCACCTGTCAGAATGAATCACTTTTTATCGGTCTGTTTATCTGTCTCTCCAGAGCGGTGACTATCCAACCTGTCTGCTTTCCTCTGTCCTTTTATCACTCAGCAATCCAGTTGCCATATGCGCATTCAAATGTTTATTCTCTGCACACAAACTTATGTGTTAACAAACTATTGTACTGGTCATCGGAACTATCCTAAAAACACCCCACGTCACACTTCATATTAGGTGGAATCAATTCCATTTGTTTTACTTTGATAACTATATCTTGGTTTTTAAACCCAAACTACAGAAACTGGTTTAATCGTTTGATCTTTTGAATTATTTGTAGCCGACAACTGATGGGCATCGGTGAAAGTTCATTTATGCGAAACCCCAGAGTAATGCTATTCTTCGGTGACCGTAGCAACTTGCCGAATCAGGATGTAGTGAAAGGGTCGGAACTAGCCTACCAAACTGCTCTCAGTTTGACTGCCGACGATCTGTTGTTGGTCGCTCTCACAGGTGGTGGTTCGGCGCTACTCACCCTTCCCAAGCAGTTCCATAACGGTAAGTCCGTTTCACTCTTCACTACCACCTGTTGTAGACCGACTCACTTTGAATGACCTTGTTCTCACCACAAAGTTGGTATCTGCTGCTGGTGCCGATATTCAACAGGTAGGATAAACCCTTTTGTTAACGTCTGTAATTCCTCTCTCCTCAGTTGAATGCTGTACGAAGTTGCTTAGATGAACTCAAGGCGGGTGGACTCGCGCTAGCCGCTTATCCGGCTCAGGTAAGTGGGCCCCTTGATCTGAAGCAGTCTGGACTTTCTCTTATAATGTCTTGAGTATCTTCACGCTGCAGTGACTCATCTTTCCGATTGCCGGACGACACAGCGTTCTTAGGCTAAATCATATTTTGGAAAAATCCCGTCCGGCCCACCAGTCACCCATCGTCTGCCTCATTGCCCGGGACCAAACTTCAGTCCATGTTCATTTCTACTTCCTCGGGGTACATCTTGTCAACGTCACGTAGACACCAGATAACCAGGCGAGATCGGCTTATATGTAAAAAATGGATCGTATTGCCGAGCATCATCAAGAGTGCACAGCTGACGAAGCCTCACGGGGATTCGCAGCCAAGACCTTGCGAACGCCATGCAGTAATATGATCGGATTTTACTAAAACGAGATATGGTGCTACTCCCCTTTTAATCACACAGTCCACATCACGTGGTCTGGTACTGATTGGCCTGTGGCGTGACGAATTTTTAGCGAGAAACCCACATCAGTAGAATCAGTAGGTACCAAGTCACGTGATAATTGCGCAGTTGAAAGATGACTTGCGTTATATCCCATAGGTCAGCTAACCATGACACTCACCAGCCTTTGTTTATCGGGCGAAATATCGTTCTACCTGAAAGATCTTTGACCCAAATCCTTCTGGAGATTTGTGAGGTATACACGCGGAGTGAAACAGTATTGACCTGACTTCCGGCTTTATAGCACCTGTTGATCTTGTCATCAAGTTGGTTAACGAATTTACGACATACCGATACCATTTCGGAAGCGCAAACGCTTTCATCGTTTACGCATTGGTTTCATCCTAAGTTGTGACGTGCCTTCGAACTGTGGATTGTTCCACATCGTTTTTGTTTGCGATTTTATGTCTTGACTCTAGAACCTCTAACGTTTCAACTTCCGTTCGACATTGCACTTATGTTTCTGGCGATTCTGCCTCACTTCTGATCTTGATTCTTTATCCCAATATCTTTTTTTCAGGTGGTCACTCTAATCGTCTCAGATGTCATCGGTGATCCTATACAGTACATTGCCAGTGGCCCTACATTTATTGAACCGGACACTACACAATCCCAGAGGGTCCAGCGGTGTGTTGAAATACTCAGGAATTATGACGTTTGGAACAAGGTGCGTTTTGAGTTTCATCTAGGGGATGTTATACTATCCGCTGTGCGCTTTTGTATTCGTTGTATAAAGTGGCACTGAGTGCAGGTAGCGTGACAATAGTACAACCACCACAGTCACGACTATGAGGTCGATTTCGACAGCACACTTGCACGGTCACAACTCAAAGTGATGCATGTCATTTTTCAGAGGATTAAGAGTTCTCTTCAGGATCAGTCAAGTGTGGAACATATTTCCAAGAGGGTCTCAGCCTGATGTAAGAAAGTTATCATTGTATAACCAATGGAAGCTTATCTGCTTTGACCATAGTTTCAACGCAAATCACTTAAATTGAACGCCGATACAGCACAGCATGGCTCAGTCAGTTATTCTGCGGTTTGAAGAGATGGGTGCCATCTGGAACAGTAGACATTTGGGGAGACATTCGACTGTTTTCGACTAAAACACACTACCGTGCCAGGGTTTCAAGTCAACAAGCCTTGTGCCTTTAATCTCGAAGAATGAAGACATACCATTCAAAGGACAGCCCTTGTAACACCTGAAATGCTAAAACGTACGAAACCTCCGGCGGTTGGCACACCATCGAACGTGAAATTTAATGCCCAACACATTCCGACGGACCTATGTTCATCATCATCGTTGAATCGCGGAAGCTGAGTACCGGATTAGCGCCTTCAACAATGTACTCAAAGCGGTATTGTGCATCGCATCCACTGGAGTGAAATCACTCGATAGTATTCTTCCCCGTGAATGTTAGTTTAGTTTTATCCCAATTTCAAATCACATTCACTTCCAAGCTGATTTTTAGGAATCATGGACACATACTGTGAATGACATGCCTGTGTATACCCCTAGTGTGCTCGTAGATAACTCAGTGATTGAAGTGCGAACTTACTGACCGGAAGGTCTGCATCTCGACCGCCTTGTCTAGGTTTAGGCGACCTAACATTATCTCAGCCCTCGAACTTCCTTCGCTTGGCGTGGCGGCTAGGCGCCGAACTAACCTTACAGTTGAACGTATACGCCCCAACAGGATTCTCTCCACACATGAACCTATTGCGAGGCGACTCTCGAATCGCCGGTCTCCAAAAGCGGTGTTGGCCAGCGAATTCAGCGGATTTTACACTATTGGATTGTTCTATGCGAAGACACCATAGGAGTCGATTTTATAGCCGTATGCTTAAAGTCTGGTAGTTTCAGGGGTACATTAGGGAGGGGAATCATCTGAGAAGATCCGATGATTCTGCATAAGAACAATATAGTACTTTATAAGAAGAACGAAAAACAACTTCGAACGTGCACTTTCGTAAGAAACATGTTTTGCTGTTCCCCAATTTGAGACAAAAAAAGTGGTAAAGGCTGGATACAGTCGTAACGTAGAATGCTTCACTATTTTGGGAAGTTCAATTTGTTGACGCACAGAATTGCCGACCAATAACAATGTGGTGCCAAGTAACCGTAAACTGGGACTATAAAACATGAAAATGTCGAATTACAGGGGTTTCCGTTGAAATAGTTGCACGGATTTGTGCAATCCCAAAAGTAGCCTTAAAATGCCACTAGCACGATATAGTAACAGTGTACGCGGAGGAAATATCAACTCGACGATGACAAACCTGTGCGTGCAACACGTAGTAGAAAACTGCGCGAGAATATAAACTCAGTAAGACAAGGATAAGAAATACATGAAGGTTTATGGGTTCATATCGGAAATGTGAAGTAGGTGCAAATAAAACTCAGGCTTTGGACACACAGATGCTTTGAATGATGGGAAGACGGAAAACATGGTAAAATTGAAGAAAAATAATGATTTTAAGTTACTTATAAAAGGAATTCAAGGACTAGCTCAGGCAGCTGATTACAGTACAGGCTTGAGATAGCCTGTTGTTTAAGGCGCAAACTACTGATTGTGAGGTTTGTGAATCGAAACCACTCCTGCTTTTGACTTGTGTTCGTCTTCACAATATCTCAGCATTCATGTTGCCTTAGGGTTGCATGGTAATCGTGCGCTGAAAGGAGGCCTCAGCTAGATAGTCTGCTTTTGACACCGCTTTGATTTGATTAGGTCGTTACTGCGGATCTAACGAGCTCAGACAATCTAATCACCGGTGAGAGGTTAGCTAGTTTCATATGGACTGCCATTGACTCTGCCGAAGGACCTGATAAATGCGAGGCACTGGGCTTGGAATTTTTCTCGGTTTGCGGTAAAGATGTGGTAGAGTCCTGATAAAACCATCCGTATGAGACGTTTACCCCCGACTCGAATTACTCAGGTGATTGTAGGGGTGACATGCCAGGAGCCTGGAACTGTCCCGATGAGTCGTAATAAGGACGATAGGGCTCGTCTGACTGGGCTTTTGGCTATCCGAGAACACGTGTATCAAAGAATTCCAAGCCCTTGTTTCTTTAGTCGTGAGACTCAGTGGCTACCATAATGTTCAGTCACCAGTGGTCAGGTTGTTTGAATAAGCCAACAGCTGATAGGACCAACAGTCATTTCACATCCATCAGGCGTTCATTGTAATTGAGAATAGTATTTGTATGCGTAGTCATCAATACTCTGGCCGAGTTGGCTAGTTTAAGACGCACCTGGTACCTGTTACAGTCTGGCAGAAAACGAACAGACAAATAAACTAATGATGAGTAAACATTTGCTGCTCACAGCAAATTCCATTGTGGAAATTATAACAAGTGTTCACAGTCAGAATCACCGGCCCATTCACCACGAATTGGCAGAACGTTGTTGCGTCTAGAAGACACATTCGGTTGGCGCCGTACTTGTCACAATTTTTGGAGAAGGCATACTGGGAGTTACAAGTTGTTAGAACGTATTTGTGGTCATTTTCGACCACACGGTTATTTGAGCTCCACCATATGTTAAACAAGACCTAATGTCACAGAAGGAGCTTGTAGAAGACAGTATCGTTGATTTAAGTGATAGTCAGCCACCAAAATGGTCTAGATCACGTGCTGACTTGATATCAAAAGTAGGAGCCAATCGCAGTTCCAAACAGCTCATTGCTTCTCGACGCCCGGTGCACCACTAAGTTTCCGCCCCATTTTATTCACAATGCGCGTGCTTAAACCAGGATTTTTATTACATTACTTCCTCATAGTTAGATAAAACTTATACGGTAATACCCCTCCTTCAACTAGAGCCCACGGGGCCTGCAGAATACATCACAGCATATCCCGAAAGATATGACATGGCGCGCAATCCCTCCGAAGGAAGACCACGACCTCGAGAATTCCATTAACCCATTCGGAAATAATATCCTGCATACATTGCAGATACTGGTTAGCCAGAACGGTATGAATCCGCACTGGGAGTACTCTGCTTACTAGTTATCGCGTTATTCTTTGTACTTTGTGGCGATCCCAACATCTTCAATGATCATGCAATAAGAATTCGGGATTCCCGGTATTTTCAAATGCAAAGGTACACGCCGGAAGCTTACCCCAGAATTGGCACGAGACGGGTTCACTGCCCGGTGAAAGGTATGAATACAGTTGTTCTCAAGGACACAGTAGCCTACCGAACTAACAAACCCACTCCGTAACTGTGATTGATAACCTATTCAGTGAGGTGATACGTGAATCCCATGTGTATATTGTATTGCTAAGTCGCGAATCCTGTAGTTGACGTTGAGGTACCTGTCCTTATTACGGTCCTATCAAGGCAAACAAACTTTGTGGTCACCTGCAAATAGAAAACTCGCACTGACAACGAGGATCGTGGTTATATAAACCTAAAAGGCACAGGTCTGTTGGTAAACAATGAACTTAGACCATTTCGGTTTGTTGTATCCATATTGCAGTAAGCGAGGATGCAAGTGTACCGTGTCTTGTAGACTGACATATCACAGGGTACCTGGATGTTGTGAGGATGACAAATCGAAACGACATCTTGATAAACAAAAGAGGTGCGCTAGTTGGTCACGCTAGTAAACAGATCGCGAGCGCTCCACACCAAGCTCACGGTTTCATCGGCCTCCAACAAGCAAGCAAAATCACCCCCATGAAAAACGCTGCTCTAGGATAGCCCCATTCGCAAAACAAAACAATGTGGGAAATCCCACTGACGAACCGATGATGAGCGAGTCTCATATTGCTGAAATTCTGTAAGCATATTCGTAGCATATTTATTTCACCAGAGACGACCTGCACTCCTTGGAAGAACCTCCGTTGCATGAATCGGAATACTGCTTTCTTCAACGGCTAAGGTTCTTTGAACAGGTGATCCGCGTAAGCGGTTTTCATTGCAATCAAGTTTTTTGTTGGCCATATTTTCGGATACTACATAGGCCGTGTTCATACCAGGCGTTCTAAAGAAATCCCTTGGAGTAGCTCCATAATTTATGAAGGCACGCGAATCGTTGTAGTGAGACAAGTCCAATTCCACCTCGGCCGAGAATTCTTTTCGTTAGCGCTCTTTATCTGTATCCAATACGTTCAATATAAGAAGTTATGTTCTGGATGCGTGGATGTTAATTCCAGACTCTGGTTACCGCGGTTGGTCTGAACTTGGAAGAGGCTGTTGTCGAGGAAGTTAAACGACTAGCTGTATGAATTCCACCTAAGACACGGTAGAGGTCACA